TTAAATTAATTTCAACCTGTAATGGATTTCAGTGGTGCTTTACTGTATTCACATCATTTTACAGAGGACAAAATTGGGGCCACAACGTTTTAACAGACTATCACTATGCATCTAATTTTTGTGTACAGTCAGGACTATAACCCAGGCTTCTTAATACCAGTAGAGAATCATTTCCTACAAAAATTAGAAGTAGCGTTTATTTAGCACTTACTATGTACCAATCACTTTGTCTATGTGACATCAAATCTTTAGGAAAAAGCCAGAAAAAGACATACCATCCCCAAATTTCAGTTGAGAAAGCTGAAGCTCAAAGAATTTAAGTGTCTTGCTCAAAGCAAAGTGCTTGTAAGCAGGAGAGCCAACGTTCAAATTCAGATCTGCTTCCAAACCCACCGTCTTCCATGTCACACCACAGTAACATTCATTAACAGCATAAATCCCTGATCAGAGAAGGAACTATGTGGGCTTGCTAGAGAAATCTACAATCCTTTATCATTTTACTTGAGAAAAAAAGGAAAAAAAATCTTATGTCACAATGTATAGCCAAATCAAGCATTCAGAGGCAATCTCTCTATGAAATCAGATTTGTGATTGACTTAGAAAAGGGATCTCTTCCTGAAGAACATCAGAACTGAAAGCTGAATGATGGCACATTACCTCGTGCTCAATGAATCACCAGGTGCGGATTCCACATCTCACTAAAGACGAAGAGGTGGGCGGAGAAGAGAACAGCCAAATCACTACTTTAAGGTAAGGAGTGCAATGTGACAAGCACATGTTCTAGTCCTTGCTTTTCTACAAAGAGAATGGAGCTTCCAGCTAAGACTCTGTCCTCCTCCACCATCATCTGAAATCCACCAAAGACAGGATGACTTAAAATACAGATTCAAAAGGTCCGAGTTTCTCTGTCCTACCTTAACATCTACAAGACGAAACATTCTGCGGGGCTTTGAAGTTAAATCACCGTGGGTGCCAGTCCCCACTTTGCTGCATCCTCTTAGTAAGTCATGGAGCTTTCTGGAGCTTCAGTTTCTTCTTTTATGTAATGGGAATAATAACACTTACTTGCAACATTTTTATGAAAATTAACTGAGATGATGAATGTGATGCATCTACCCCAAAACCTGACTCAAGCTGGGACTCAGTTTATTCAAATAAGGATGGATAGTTCAATGTCAAGTCTCAGAACAACAAAACGCAAAGAAGTTCATGACACCCAACCAGATCATCATTCTCTGGAATAACTGCAGTACTAAAAATATCCTAATAGCAAAATATGTCAAGTAAAAGCCTCTGTTTATAAATCTTATAACACTGTTTCTAGTAAGAAAGGGACAAGACGGTGAATGGAATATTCAAATTGACTCCAGCCTATTACCTTACAGGGATACTATAACAGATTATTGAATGTAGCATTTTGAAATTTCTTGGAAATAAGGAATAAACACGTGTCCCATCATACATACATATAGGCAAATATATATTTCAATGAACTAAGAATTACTCTATAAATTTAGATCAGGGCACAGCATGCCTTGGATGAGTAGGGTAGGAACAATATGTTCTTGCTTACGACACCAAGCTCATGACAAATGATTCATACCCAGAACCTTTCATGCCAAAAGATCCCCCAGGTGTTCCACCAACTCTAGCGACAGTTTCCATCAGGCTAGACTGCAGTATAGAGGAATCACATCACACCCACAGATGAGGCAAAACAGTCATATCTTTTACACAACTGCATAAGTCCAACAGTGGAGGGGGCAGGAAGGAGAAGGGAAGGAGATGAGAGAAAGATCCAGAATTCTTCACCAGTTTGACAGGCAGCCTGTAATTACCATACATTTACACCTTTAATGCAGGTGTTATTGGAATCAGAAGCCCTACTTAGCAAAGGCTTTTAGCTAAAGGTGAGACAGGTTCAGAGGATGTGTACAGACAGTGGCCCTGAATGTTTTGGGGATGGATTTATAGGGGACAGCATCTAAATGTGAAGAAAATGAGAGGCCCCCCACCCAATGCTGTCCTCAGGGTTAGGTTAGTGGATTTCTTGCTCTGGAGGAAAGGAAAGTGTACTCTGAGAGTTACAAAGAGGTGTACAGTACTTTACAGTCATGATTCCCTCTTGCGTATATTCTGTCATGTAATTCTCCGTAATGAACCTGACAGGCATTGCCCCCGCCCCTTTTAGAGATGAAGAAATTCACACTCAGAGTGCAATCAGCTTGCCAAGATCAAACCACAAATAAGCAGAACTAGAACTTAGGTCTCCACTCTGCTTTTCACATCACAGAGTTGCCTGGAAAAGTTTCTTTCTGCCTGCCTTCCTTTCAAAAAAATATTTTAAAGTTTCTCTCTCCTATGAATCTGGGACAGCTTTGTTTTGGAGGATCTTGATAAAAGATGATTTCTCTTCCTCTACTACCTGTACATATACACAGAAAAAAAAAACCAATTTGTGTGTAAGTGGGCAGGGATGCCAGGTGGGGAGGGTCCTTATAGAATGAGAGACTTAATGGGATAGAAATCTCATTAGTTTACATGATTTGAGTACTCTTATCTTTAACACCTTGACTAATGCCTACATTATCTCAGAATTCCTTGCATGTCACCCGTCCAAGACCTGACCCTAATAAGCCTAACTGGGCTTATAAGCACCAATGGGGGAAAAAAAAAAAAGGCTGGCAGGGCTTGGCATCATTTCTTAAATTGAGTTTCAAATTTGCCAAAGATGTACTCTCCTTTTCTTGCTCTTTCCAAGATCTTTCAAGAGATGAACTAAAGTAGAGGTCTAATGGGTAAGTGATATTTCACAGCTTGAATTACATTAAAAGCCAGAAATATTTTGAGTCCAAAGTCCTTTACTTCTTGATACAAGATCTAATATGTTTGATGTGTCTAAAATCTCCCCTCAAAGCTAGAAGCTTGGAGTTAATCACTTAAAGCAGTGTGAAAGTTATGTCATCAGTTTAAAAAGATTCAAGTTCAAATTGGGGGATTAATTTTCATGGTTATGATATGAAAGATATGATGGCTAAGGTCAGGAATGAAGGCAAGGGTCTCTAGAACATGAATGACAAGTATCTTGGCTTCAATTATTTGATTAAATCAATCCTGAGAACCACATAAAACCATAGCCTTGGTCATGAAGGCAAAATTGCAGGGAAAACCCTGCTGACGCTCTCAGGGCAGAGACATGATACAAAATACTATTTATCATGATTTGCCTTAATACAACTTATACCTGTGTACCCAAGGAATCCATAATGACAGACTCTTATTTTAAAATGTTCACAACTTCCATTAAAAAGCTGACAGCACAATTCATTATAGTGGCAGTTCCCTGGGAAGGTTTCTGGCAATTATATCACAACTGAAAACATTTTGAAATGTACCAGGCTGCACAGACAGTGCATAGTACAAATACTACAATCTCCATAACCTGGCAGACACTGAAACTTTGACTTTTTTCTTTTTCATTTTACCCATCCTTGATTTTTACGTTCTTGTCTAGTTGATAGCAGCCTGGAGAAGTTTCCATACTTTAAAATCATCTGTAGTTATTACCATCAAAGCTTGTTCTTTACTATTTTAGCTCCTTGAAGTTTCCAGGTGTGGTTTAAACTGGAATAGCTACTTCAAATACCAGATATGTAAGCTTTTCCAAAAATCTAAAACCTTCCCTGACTTCGCTACAGCTCATGGGCTTGCACCCACACTCTCCAGTGTCAGCCTCCTGGAATCCAGCAATCCC